TCCACCCTGGAATCGACTGTCGCTGAATCTGGACAGGGCTGCTGATGACTTCTGCGTATTTACCAGCCTGGTGATGCAGACAGCAGCAAAACAGCGGGCTGATGAGCAGCGCTGTGATGTACCTGCGCAGAGGACTGTGCGTGACTTCTGTGGCTGCAGCTCAGACCCAGGAAGCCACAAACTGTTGGGGACGTGTGGAGAATTGGGTTAGGGTCCCCAGACTGGTGAGATGGTGACAAGGCGGTGAGCTCTGACTGGACATTTGTCAGATGCCCAGGTTTCAGGGGAGAAGCCTCAGTCCTGTATCAATACAGCACAGCTGCAGGCAGGACCGATTTGTTGCTGTTCTCGTGTTCTGGGTCCTCTTCCCCACTGGGGTTTTGCTGCAGGAGAAGGGAAGAAGCCCAAGGGGCTTTGGGAGGCCGAGGGAGGCTGCGGCGGTTCCTGCCTGGGACAGAAGGCACGAGCAGCAGGCGTCTGCTGTCCAGGGTTGGCTGCTGGGTCCTCCTGTGCTTGTGTTCCTGCCCAGGGCAGGTCTGTGCACGCATCCCAAGAGCAGTTCTGCCTGCCTGCTCCAGAGAAGAGCTCTGGACATGGCTTAGTGGCCCAGGCCACCAGCCCGTAATCCTTGCTCGTGACTCCAGTGTGAGGCTCCAGGTTTTAAATGATGAAGAGCAGCCTCCCAGGAGCAGAGTCCCAGGGCTCTCCCTCCCACACAGCCATGGGTATTTTGCATCTCCATCGCTGCAGTCACGGTATCTCGGTGGAGCTGAGTGTGGCAGACCTGCACGTGGCTGACCCAGCTTTCAGTAAAGAGGGTGACGGTGAGGGAGGCAAATGCTCTGGCGTCTGTGCCAGACCAGTGGTCCCTGCGCTCATCTTGGCTGGGAGGAAAGGGTATTTCGGCAGTGCTGAATTGCTACATCACCTCTCGTAACAGCCGACTCGGGACGGAGACATCAGTGCGCAAGCAGGAGGGACGCTTCTGTGCATGGCTTTATTTATGCGCCCTACCATGTGACCAAGGGACGCATGCAGCAGGGAAGGCTCTTGGCCTCTGCTCATCAGGAGGGACGGTCCGTTCTTTTCTGGCTTGGTGTTGTGGACCAGACAGACCTGTCATCTTGCTCAGGCTGCTGCTCTGTGCTTTACCTCATCTCCTTTCTGGCAGCAGATCGGGGTGTAATGGGTGCTTTGAGAAAGCATGAGAAATAAGGTGAATGCAGAATGGCCTTTGGCTGGTCACAGCCTTCCTGTTGCCAAAGCAAAAGTCTGCAATGAACCCTGACTTCAGGACCAGGAGGTGATCTTTCTGGATTCTGCCTAGATGAGGATTTCTTCAATCTGCCTTCATAGAATCATAGAATGGTTTGGGTTGGAAGGGAGCCTAAAGATCATCCACTTCCAATCCCCTGCCATGGGCAGGGATGCCTTCTACTAGACCAGGTTGCTCAAAGCGTCATCCAGCCTGGCCTTGAGTGCTTCCAAGGAGGGAGCATCCACAACTTCTCTGGACAACCTGTTCCAGTGTCTCACCACCCTCATGGTAAAGAATTTCTTCCTAATATCTAATCTACCCTTTTTCAGTTTAAAACCGTTACCTCTCGTCCTGTCACTACATTCCCTGACAAACAGTCCATCCCCATCTTTCTTGCAGGCCCCCTTCAGGTACTGAATGGCCACAATCAGGTCTCCCCCGCAGCCTTCTCTTCTTCAGGCTGAACAATCCCAACTCTCCCAGCCCATCTTCTACAAGAGGTGCTCCAGCCCTCGGATCATCTTTGTGGCCATCCTTTCCTTTGCCTTGCTTCCACTATCTCCTTGCAACTGCTTCCTATGTGTTGAACAGCAGAGCACCGGGGTCCAGGTCAGACACAGCCATGGCACATCACAGCAGTGGTGTGCCATGGCTGAATTCAGTCTGTGTACTTGGGAAATGGCATCCTGGCAGCCAGCCCTGACCAGGGCTTTGCTGAGGTGCTTGGGGATGCGTGGCTTGTGCTTGGCTGCTCGCTCGTGTTTTCTTGCCATGCAGGAATGGCCCTGGATGAGCAGCCTGCTTTGCTTCTGCCCAGCCCAGGTACCATGGGCCAGACTGAGTGGTGCATGGGAAGTCCTTTGGAGGGCTGTGTGCCTCCCTGTTCTCTGCTAAAACCCCATACCCCAGATTAGCTGAGGAATGCCAAGAGTGCCAGCGTAGCGGCCACAGCTGGGATGCAACGGAAGCAGAAGTCTTGGTCTCTGTAGGCCAGGTGGTAGTTTTTACCAGGAGAAGATGACTTGGGAGCTGCTCAAAGCCCAACCAACCTTTTCCTCTTGGGGCTGCCCTTTCCTGTTTCCCATTCTGAACGATACATCCGTTTATAGCTGCTGCCTCCTCCCCTCCAGGGCCTGGTGTGGGGCTGGCATGAGACAACTGTTCTGCCAGGATATCTGTTCTCACTCGGGCATTAGGGAAAGCACCCAATTTCCCTCTGGCTGTCAAAGTTGGTCAGAGCAGCGGCGCAGTTACTGCCCTGCTTCACCCTGGTGATCAGGTGGAGGGCTTTTCAACAGGGACCCAAACGGTGCCAGCTTCGCGCTCTGCTTCCCCTTACATCTCCTTTCCCAGGTTTCCCCTTGAGCAGCTTCCTTCTATCAGCAATGTCACAAGCCCCTGTTTGTTCACCCCTTCCCATTGACAAGGTGTTTTGTTGACTTTGTACCATAGTTTGATATTTATGATAGTGGTTGCCAAGGTAATTTCCACCTGCATCATCAGTTCAGTCAAGCGATCCCCCATCACCTCTCCCCTCCTACCTGATCTTGTCATTTTCATATCGTTGTCTGGTTTGCATGCCCCGGGCTGGGCCTTCGTATGGGCATTGCTGCCCTTTGCTACTGTTCCTTCCCCCGTTCCTTGTCATGTGAGCGTGTTAGAGAGCGGCCAGGGTTAGCCACCAGCTTGCACGCCCTAATGAACCCATCCCCCTGTGCCTGCAGGGGTGCCTGCCCTGTCCTCGACGTACCTGCCTGGATATCTTACCCTGGGCAGCTGCCTGAGACGCAGCCTCCTGCCAGGCCTGGAGTCCTGCCAGGGCGTGGGAAAAGCAGCCCCGTGCCCTGGGTGGCCAGCAGAGCCTGGCACTGAGCTGGGATCCCGGGGCGAAGAGATGGCGCTGAGGGCTCTGCGCTCCTGCTGCAGCAGTCCCCGCTGGGCGCGTGGTGTTTGCATCGTGCCCTTGGTCGGCTGCGGCTGTTTCTTGGGAAGTACAGGTCAGTGCTGGGATCGCGGCATACAGTACACACAAGCTACAGGCAGCAAGTGAACTTTATTTCGAAACAGCTTGTCACAACAGAGTAAGTAGAACACAAATCCCTCCTGGTGCTCGGCATCCAGGAGCCCAGTGAGACCACCCCACCTTGCCTCCGTCGAGCTGCCCTCAGCTCCTGCCCTGCCAGGGGCAGCTCTCCTGGCTGCACTGGAAAACAGGCTAGCATCTGTGCACGCACTGGGCAGAGGCTCCCTGGAAAGCTCCAGGCCAGCTCCCCCCATCTTCTGAACCCTGCCAAAAAGCACTTGCCGTGTTGGCTTGCAGAGTAGCCCCGCAGGCACAGTTTGGCGCTCACCAGGCATGTGCAGGACAACCAGGGGATCAGGCCCAGCCAGCATGGGTTCAT